CTAAATAGATGGGCGACTGAAATCGCCTGAAGTGCCCGGGATCTAAAGCTTCGGACATGTTCACGCCATTCCGTCCCCTTGCGATTCTCCCGACAAGACAGCTGTTACGGGTCCATTGCATGTCTCACCTTGCAGGTTGTGATAGTTACGACTGGTCATGTCGGAACTAGCACAACTAAATGCAAGGATTCATGGCAGTTGTCTTGTTGGGAGATGAGGCGATGAAATTGAGTGAGCTATGCCTGAAGCCTAATGGCGGTAAATCCATTTCGTCAGGGTTCTTACTGCAGGTACCTGGTCGAGTATTGCCCTCACCAACTATCGTCTATGGAAACAATAAATATCTGAAACCCGTCGATAACGTATGCGCTTTAATTCGTTGTGTCAACATATGAGATAGGTTGTCGATTCTTGTTCAGTGCAATTGGAATAGCGACCGATACCGATACGTTGAACCTGCTAAACTGCTCAACTGGGCTATCTGCTGCACTCTGACCACTGAAGATAGTCGCCGTTTGTATATCAAGTTGGTTTTGTACAGTACCAGAGTCATGCGAAGCAATCTTATTCTTATAGAGACTACGCAGAACGCATCGAGGAACGATGTCGTTTACATGGAATGGAGACAGAGCCATGCTCTGAGATTTATGCGCTTGAACCTCAGAACTACGAGACTTTGATGGTAAATCTTTTGTCATAGCTTTGTTTTGTAAACTGTTTAGTCACTAAGGCTTTCTGAAAGATGAAGAATTAAGTTGATTCCTAACTCTCTTTCTGGAAGATGAAGAATTAAGTTGATTCCAAACTCTAACTTTAGAATCGTGTGTACTATGCCAAATTTACGAAGTCTTTTTTACCCCTTTCGGATCCCTATCGACTGATTTTAAAGTTTCTACTTGTACTGTAAAGGACAGAATGTGAAAATCCAAAGAAAGAAAGCCTCAAACAAACAGCTAAGATTTTTCTCTACAAATTTGGACACCTTCATAAAACGTAAGACGGAAAATATGACAGCAAATAAGCTAAGCAGGAAAGGTACCTAAGTCAAGACTTTTGGAAAGCAATACTCGGAATCAGCATGAAACGCCTGAAATCAAATCTGTTGTTCCTAGCTGCGAAGCATTATTCTGAACAGAGTTATGGGCTTTTTTGTGCAAAATTCGAGCTTATTGACTTACTGGCATCAAGGTGCCAACATTCAGATGACATTGCATTTGTATCAAGTTGCTTATCAGCATCAAGAGCTTGACTTTACAATATCCCAGCATCTTTTTCAAGCAGATTTCTACCTACAGGCTGTCTTCCCATGTTCAGTAATGCGTCAACGGCGCTAATAAAAAGCTTATTACCACGAACACTTCGCAGCTAAGGGTAACGTATCTGGAATCAGCGTTCCAAACTGATTCTGAATACATGTGTTTCAAAAGGCTGACTCAAGTCAAGTGACTTACCTTGTTAGTTAGATATGAAGTGCAATGGATATGCCAAAGAGAGGCACTCGCCGTGGCATGTTGTCGAAACTTGTTATCCATTAAGGCTTTCTTGTATAATCGAAGATAAAGAGGAAGAGGGGCAATGATTGTGCTTTGTCTTTTTGATGAAAATTAGATTTCTGAAAGAAGAGAGAGTCCACGCCAAAAACCCCGAATATGTTGAAGTTGCAATATCTATGCTTCAAAACACGCATCGAGTTTCAGGAATGGTATGCCTCCCAAAAGCAGAAAAACCGTCGTTATCTGATGTTCATCACTTCTGATAACATCAAGCAACATGGTTGGTTTTACGAGGAAAGGATACTTGGTGACCGTGGCCTTTCGATATGTGAC